GGAAGAGATGGAAGATGCAGATGACCTGTGCAATGATCTCAGAGTGCAACTTAGTTGGAAATCCCAAGGAGTGGTTTCTCGACTCAGGTGCCACTCGACATATTTGCTCTGCGAAAGAAGCCTTTGCAACGTACACTCTGCTGAGTTGATGAAGATTTGTTCATGGGAACACAGCAACAACAAGGATTGCAGGAACTGGGAAAGTAATGTTGAAATGACATCCGGCAAGGTGTTGACTCTGAACAACGTTCTGCACGTTCCTACTATTAGGAAGAATTTAGTTTCTGCTGCACTGCTCGTTAAGAACGGGTTTAAATGTGTCCTAGTTAGTGACAAAGCTGTAATAAATAAGAATGAAATGTTCTTAGGAAAAGGCTACCTCACTGAGGGCCTCTTCAAACTGAATGTAATGGTTGTTGACAGTATTAATAAGAATTCTGCTTCTGCTTACTTATTGGAGTCAAATGATTTATGGCATGCTCGTTTGGGACATGTAAATTACAAAGCCTTGCGAAAATTGGTTACTTTAGAAGTATTGCCTGATTATAAATGCGATAAATCGAAATGTGAAATTTGTGTAGAAAGTAAGTTTGTTAAACATCCTTATAAGTCTGTTGAAAGAAATTCAAAACCTTTAGACTTAATTCACACAGATATATGCGATATGAAGTCGACACCATCTCGTGGTAAGAAAAAGTATTTTATAACTTTTATTGACAATTGCACTCGATTTTGTTATGTATATTTGCTTAATAGTAAGGATGAAGCAATTGATGCATTTAAGAAATACAAAAATGAAGTGGAGAATCAATTGAATCTAAAGATAAAAATGATTCGGAGTGATAGGGGTGGAGAATACGAATATCCTTTTGCAGAGATATGTTTGGAATATGGTATTATTCATCAAACTATTGCACCCTAAACACCATAGTCAAATGGTTTGGTGGAACAAAAGAATAGAGCATTAAAGAAAATGATGAATGTCTTGATAATCAGTTTTGGTTCACCGTGAAACCTGTGTGGGGAAGCCATCCTTACGGCTAACAATATACTCAATAGAGTACCCCAAAGAAAAATGCAATCGATTCCATATGAGTTATGGAAAGAAAGGAAAACCAACTTGAAATATTTCAAAGTGTGGGGGTGTCTAGCCAAGGTAGAGGTTCATTTACCCAAGAGGGTGAAATTGGACCCAAAATAGTGGATTGTGTATTTATTAGATATGTTGTGAACAGTAAGGCCTGTCGGTTTTTGGTTGACAAATCTGATAATCCTGAAATTCATGTGAATACGGTAATTGAGTCAGATAACGCTGAGTTCTTTGAACACATTTATCTGTATAAAACTGAATGTGAGTCGACAAGTGAAAGACCTAAACGACCACGGGAAGAATCAACGGAAAATACACTACCTAATGAGGATCCTAAGCATAGTAATCGCCAACGGAAATCCATTTCTTTCGGATCAGATTTTGTGGCATTTTTGCTTGAAAATGAGCCTCAAACATTTAAAGCAGCTATGTCTTCGTCTGAGTCAATCTATTAGAAAGAAGCAGTCAATAGTGCGATCGAATCAATTTTAAGTAACCATATTTGGGAATGAAACGTGTGTTGGGGTATCTGAAACATACACAACACTATGTTTTGCATTATAATAAATATCTTGTCGTGATTGAAGGATATAGTGATGCAAATTGGATCACCGGGTCAAATGAAGTAAAATCTACAAGTGGTTTTATGTTTACACTTGGTGGGGGAGCAGTCTCTTGGAAATTGTCCAAACAGACATGTATCGCTCGCTCCACAATGGAATCTGAATTTATTGCTTTAGATAAGGCTGGTGAAGAAGTTGAATGGCTCCAAAATTTGTTAGACATTCCATTCTGGCCCAAACCTGTGGGACTTATTTGCATACATTGTGATAGTCAAGCAGCAATAGGTAGGGCAGAGAGCGTCATGTACAACGGAAATTTTCATCATATACGACAGAGACATAACACCGTAAGACAACTGCTCTCTAGTGGAATTATCACAATTGACTATGTGAAGTCAAGCGATAATGTGTAAGATCCACTAATGAAAGGCCTAGTGAGAAAGGCAGTTGAAAGATCATCTAAGGGAATGGGTTTACTGCTTAGGACAAGTCAGCATGGCGGTAACTCTATCTAGCAGCCTGGAGATCCCAAGAGCTAGATTCAAGGAGAAAAACAAAGTTGTGACTGACGGTTTAAGGCTTGTTAATGAGTTAATAAAGCTTAAATTTTTTAATGATTTGCTAAGTTTTGCAGATTTGACCAAATAATGTATCTACGAGATGACACGGTTAGAAATCACCTATGTGAGTGTGAAGTGTAAGCCGCTTCAAATAGAATTTTATGTCAAAAGCCTATTTTCTATACACTCATGAAACCAGGAGGTGCTCATGGCTGAAACGAACACAACCGTAAGAACCATAAATGGTAAAAGGTTAATTGTGTGACATATGGTTGTCTAGGTATAAACCAAAGCTCGTTGTTTCAATGATATCACATCCACCGATTGACTGAGTATATCCGACATATGTTCACTACGGAAAGTCCAAGGGGAAACCTACTTATCCAGATGCAATTGATCCTTGCTTGTAAAGTACACACTCGTCCGTGCATTCCTTATGGAGGGAAGATGAAAAGAGAGGAACTTGAAAAGTCCTCTTATGCTTTAGTAAACAGGCATTTCTCCCTCATCGGTGGTGGAAAGAAAAATAGAAGAGTTTAAATAGAGAAACATTTCTATTAATTGTTAAAAGGTTTGGAAAGAGGGACCACCCTCGCGCCGTCGCCGTCGTCGCTCACTCGGCTCGGCTTCGACTTCGGCTTTGGAAAATGATCTATCGAGAGATGGGCAAAGTTTTGTTTTAATTATTTATTTAATTAAATAAATAAAATTAAATGGCCAAAAACGTTTCGACCCGACTCGGATCCGTGTGACCCATTTTATTTAAATTACTTTCCCGTTTTATTTGAATTTCCCACCGTTGGAGATGACTGTTCTGAAAGGTTGCAACTTTCAGGAACAACCATGACCGTTTGAAAGGTTGCAAACTTTCTGAAATGGACGTGTGGTTTCTGAAAGGTTGCAACCTTTCGGAACCAGTTCCTCTTGGCTATAAATACCAGTTATTCTTCTGACTTTTACTTACGAAAATTTCTGATTTCTTCTTCTTCTTCTACACAAATATTTTTCGTGTACTTTACTACCATTGAGTGGATCGCTGACACCAGGGTTTTGGGTATCAATACACTAGTGATTGAGATCATTCTATCCTGGGAGGACATATTCCAAATCAAACCTCAGATACTAGATGGAGAATAATTTCCTTAAGGGGACACTGTGCATTCAGTGGGCTTGATCTTTTTCCGTTCTGTCTTTTTCCAGATTCAAGTATGTTTTACAGATTTTAATTTTTGTGAATTAATTTTTGTTCTTCTGTTCTTCACTGGTTCATTGGAAACTTTGGTTACTTCTTGTTTCTGCAAAGTTTCTGGTAATCAATATTACTATTTTTTAAAGACAGATTGGCAACAATTATCATATGTACTATATCTAATTATATTTCATGAGTTACTAAAATGTTCTATCTATTTGCATCCTCTACTTAAATAACGTAACATGTCTTCTGATCAACCTCCTTTTACCAATTTTTTCATCATTTAATCCATCTATAAATAGCAATCTCTATGATATTGTTAGCTACTAATTTTCATTTTCTCCTTCTTCTTTTTTTATCAATATATCTTCTTCCTTTTAAATGTTTTCCTTCATTTGGTTCATCATCATGTGGTTAAAATCAAAAGAGATGATATAGAAAAAGTCTCCTCAACTTCCTTTTACCAAATTTTCCATGATTTAATCAATCTATTAATAACAATACTCTATAGAGTGGTTAGCTACACATTTTTATTTTCTCCTTTTTTTATCAATATATCTTCTTCCTTTTAAATGTTTTCCCTCATTTAGATTTTGATTCATCATCATGTGGTTAATAATCAAAAGACATGATTTAAAAAAAGTGATGTGACAATTTATAATCACTTTGATGAAGATTATAGATATATTCTTCAAAATTTTGTTTTATGTCAAACACAAGTTCACCGTATGAAAAGAAAGTTTGATGGCAATGTAAGATTCATCAAAGAGAAATGGTAAGCTTAATTTGATTCAAATTCATCAAGAATGAAGTTTAATGATGCGCGAAGATCATCAATAGAGATAGTCAAATTAGTTTGAAAAAGTAGAAGTTTATATATGTCAAATACAAGATG